ATATATATATATAGAGCGTAGTGTTTTTAAAAAGGCAACAACTAAGCTGATAACAATTTGTCAACATTTGCTAAATGTTCATTTGTTGGGGTCCAAAATAATCCATTTCCATTGGGGGTCTGCATGCGATTTGTTTTCCATTCTCTTCTGTCTTTTTCTCTGTTATTCACAAATTGTTAAACTTGAAGTTAATTATGCGTCAAATTCAATTAGTTTATTCGAAGTCTAGGGATTCATAAAATCATAAAATTCAAAGGCAAATAGAGAAACATTTGTATTGATTTGCAAATTGTTATGGCTTCTTAGTTATAGCTGAGCTTTAGATAAGATACCGGGAGTTGCCAGAGGGCCTAGTTAGTGTTTAGGAAATTGTGGTCATAGTGGTGGTGTTGGAGGTGGTGCAGGCGGTGCAGGTGACGGTGGTGGTGGTGGTGGTGGTGTTGATGGTGTTGTTGAAATGTTGGCTGTTATGCGTGGACTTCAACTGCTTCTTGCGTGAGTGTTTAGTGTTTGGGATCTGGTCTGTGGCTTGAACTTGCTTGACAATTGAATATATGTACTTTTAAAAGAAAAATATGTTATGAAATATATCACTGTGTCATATCGTACATTTATACAGCAGTAAAGCATACCAAGCAGCAAGTAACAAGCGATAAAATGTTAAAACCAAAGTATTTAAATTAAGAAAAAACCCAAGAAATGAAAAAAAAGTAAAATAAAAATGAAATTTAATTATAACTAAATGAATAGCAGCAAAGCAGCAACTACATATAGTTAAATAAACTGAAATGATTGGCAAGCAACCACAAGAACAAATTGTATATGCATTTAATTTAGCCTAAACAATTAAAACAAACCACATATAAGTATATATATAATACTAACTATAATAATAACAATAACAATAAGCGTTAGCTGAATAAATACAAAGCAAATATGTTAAAGGCATTTAGTGAGCAAATATGAATTGATAAAAAAAAAAAAAACTATTACACACAGACGCCACTTGAAATTAATGTTAGTTACAAAACAACAACAAAAACAACAACAAGAACAACAAAAAACGAACTAATTTATTGAAATGTATTGCACAATATTGTACACTTATAAATATTAGTAATGAAACAAAAAGGAAGTAACTAAAACTTAATAGAAACAAATAGGAAGGCAGCTGCGCTAGCGAAATATATATATGTATTGTAGTTAATATACACATATATATAGTCATATCTATATATATTAGTTCCCAGCCATGTTTTTTATTGTATTTTAATATGTGCCCCACATTATTGTTTTGAAGGATCAGAAGTTTCACACTCACACAGCATAGCTCAGTTAAATTAGTGGAATAGTTGAAATAAACCTAAGTGAAAGATTTGTGTGAATTTATATGTAATTTGTATTGAATGTGTGCCTAACGCTATACATCTTCCCTCCTTCTCTATCTCTCTCCAATTTTTGTATTTTATTTTTAATTTAATTTTTTTTTTTTTTTGGAAACACCAGGGCAAACTCTTCAAATAGTCGGGGATGAATTTTTAGCAATTCGCAGCACTTGCAATGTGCAGTCGATTTCTTTTGTCGAACTTAACAAGCAAATGGAGACCAAATGCTCAGGGCTTAGCGAGTTATATTAACGTAATATACAAAACCAAAAGAAACAAACAAACAAAAATAAAAAGGCAGAAACCGTATTTAAGAACTAATTGTAACACATCATGAGCATGCTCCATTAAAACTTAACAAATTACAAAACTACAAATCATTTCAGTTGCAAATCTAATGCTAATGCGTCGACAAATACCCACAAGCAAAAAAAAAAAAAAAACAACAAAATAAATAAATAAAATGAAACAACAAAAACGAAATGAACAAGAACAATCCAGCTAACAAATTTACAAATCCAAGCAATCAATTTTGTTACAAAGACTGAATGAGAAACCAACAACAACAAAGGCAACAAAAACAAAGGTTATGTTACCCACCCTCGAGGGGGGGACAACTTTCATATCAAATGGCAAACGTTTTTCAAAAAATCCCCAAATAAAAAGCTTTAAGTTTTAATCCTTAAAAATGTAAATTCTTATCCTACTTTTGAGACCTTTACTAGCAAAAAGAAGTCCATAATCCAAAAACAAAAATAATCCATTAAAAAGTCCCTTAACGAATAGTCAAATATAGCGAAATTAATTCAAATATTACCACCAGAATTTTTGCTACATAACGAACTAAATATACATATAACTAAAATGCAATAATAAGAACAAATAGTTTACAAAATATAGTTAAAAAGGAGATCGTATGAAACCAGATGAGACATTGCGAACTTTTGCGGAGACTTTTCAAGTAGAATTATACTAACAATATAC